CACACACACATATGGACACACACACACACACACACACACACACACACACACACACACACACACATGCACACACACACACACACACACACACACACGTGCATATGTCCTTCTTTGCTCGTGTTCATTGTGCTCACGCTTGCCCGCCGCCATGCACCGACTTGCTTTCCATGCGTCAACAGCCGTTTGGGGACGGGTATGTAGCACTGCTCACAATGCGGCACTCTGAATCAGCCAAGGCAACCGACCACCTGTGCACAGAGGGCGAGTACACGACAGCGCAGCAGCAGCAGCAGCAGCAGCAGCAGCAGCAGCAGGGGGACGAACAGGCCACCAAGAAGAGCAAGACCAGCGAACCAGAACAAGAGCACCAACAACCACCAACGACAAGCAGCAGTGGTAACATGCCGACACAAGCGCTACCAGCAGCAGCAGGACAAGGCCAGGGGCTGTAGCAGTGTGCAGCGTACATGATATGGCTGTGTTTACTCGTTTGTTGTAGACTGTTGGATTGGTGAGAGAGTGAGGAGATGGAAGAAGAAGACGAGTGTGGTGGCATGGTACTGAAGTGTGTGCTTCTATTGCGACGTGGCGCGATAATAGACCCAACCTACACCATCGTCAGCTACTCGGTGCCGCCATGATAAGCATGGGAGAGAGAGAGAATGGGGGGGGGGATGGGACAGGAGGCACCGTCACAAACGCAACCAGCACATGCGAGGCGGATATGTCATCAATCAGATACAACAACCAAAGCACGTGCACAGGACAGTGGAGGACACAGCCCAACCAGCAAGAAGGTGGAGAGTGGGGGAGCGAGAAGAGAAGACACCAAACGTAGGTGAGGCAGGCAATGTGGTCACAGGATATGTGCTTGATTTGATGAAAGCGGGTTGGTTAGAATGGGGAAACGTGTGGTGGTGGTGGTGGGCGGAGAGCGCCGTGAACATGCGCGTAGGCACACGTGCGCATGAAGAAACTACAAACAGCACGTCCGAAACACGGCAAAACAAGGAATGATTAAGCTGGCGCTAGTCGTTGTACTCGGATGATGATTGATGTCTCGAGTGAATGACATCAAACCACATCACATCACATCAGACCATCACTGCTTGGCGGCGCGCGTAGAGGCATCGCTCTTCATGATGAAGTTGAGCAGGTCAATGCGCGTCACAATCGAGTGAATCTTCTCCTTGCTGGCATCTGCCTCGTCTGCCGCCATCACCAGCACAAACGGCTCCTTGTCGAGGAGGCGGGAGACGCGGCCGAGGGTGGCGGTGGTGGGCACCTGCTTGAACGACTTGTACAGCACCTTGGACACAGGGTCGTCCTTTGTCACGCGCTTCTTCACAAGCATCGACATGAGGTTGCCCTCCGTCATCATCCCAAGCACTTGCCTGTTGCAATGCACGATGGGGGATTTGGGGGCAGGGGGGAGTGGGTTAAGGTGTTAACGTTTAACGTCATGTTTGGATGGGGTGGCAACGAAACCGTCCATGCGTGGTCAAAACAGAAACGGAGTGAGAAAGATTCATGAACAAGCGCACGTCTCGCCTGTTGCCTTCATCTCCACCACTTGCTGTCACTCTCCCTCACACACACACACACACACACGCACACACACACACACACACACACACACACACACACACACACGCACACACGCATACACACACTTCCACGGACCACCGCCCTTGCCGAGTGTGTGCAACGCACCCTGTCTCGCTGACGACGGGCATCTGGTCAAAGCCCTCGCGGTGGAGGATCTCAATGGTCTCGCCGCACGTCACCGTCGGCAGCAGCGTCATCGGAAACTTCTGCGGCAGCGCCGTCACAGAGAGCGACGTCCACCTGAACACCATCACCAACGGCAATAGCAGCAGGCGGGTGGAAAGAGACAGCAGATGGCGGTGAGGAACGTTGATCGGGGGCAGACACACGGCAGAGATGGCAGTGGCAGTTGTTATGAGGGGGGAGGGACAGCAAAGATGGAGACAGCAGCAAGCAAGATGCGTTCACGACGACGCATTAACAACAGCAGCAACAACAGCAGCAACAACAGCAGCAGCATCAGCAGCAACAGCAACAGCAGCAGCAACAAATCACACCACAATAGCACTGACCAGTCCTCCTCTGTTGGGACCTGCTCGTCGGGCGGCTGCTCAATAAACTGGTGCTGGTACATCCACTCGTCCGAGAGGAACTTGGTCATGTAGTTGCGCACCGAGTCTGGGAGCATCACGACGCAGCGCTGGCCCTTCTTGAGGGAGCGCGCAGCCTCGACGGCGGCCCACATGGCGGTGCCAGAGGACCCGCCGCACAGCAGACCCTCGCTGCGGATCAGCCGGCGCGACATGCGGAACGCCTCCCGGTCACGCGTCTTCACCCACTTGTCAATCACATTCCGGTCAAGCACGCGCGGGATAAAGTCGTACCCAATGCCCTCAACCTGGTGCGGGAGCGTGTGCGGGTGTGGTGAGGTGCGCAGGGGCGAGGTGCAGTGGCGATGATGGTGGTGGTGGTACCGATGGTGGTGGGAAGAAGAGCAAAGGAGACACAACTGCATGCGGAAGATACAAGCACAGGAAGATGGAGGCGGGACAAACTGCAGCAGCACGAACACGAGCCAAGCACCACATAGCACCACAGGATGGTGTTGTACACCGCACCTGGTAGCCGGTGACGTCTGTCTTGTTGAGCTCCTCTGGCTGGGCGAGGATGGAGCCCTCGGGGTCGACGCCAACAATCTGGATGCCAGGCACCTTCTCCTTCAACTTGCGCGCAATGCCCGAAATCGTACCGCCCGTGCCAGCGCCAGCAACAAGCATGTCAATCTTGCCTGCACAACGAAGGGGGGGGGAGAAGCAAGAGGAAGAGCAAGAGGAAGGGGAGGAGGAAGAGGTGTTGAGCGTACGTGGTCACAAGATTGGCTGTACAGCAAGTGATGCCGTGACTGAGGCTGCCACCGCAAGCAGCATCAGATACGGCAACAACAGTACCAACAGCAGCAGCAGCAGCAGCAGCAGCAGCAGCAGCAGCAGCAGAACAGTGGTGACGCACCGTCGCACGCCTCGAGGATCTCCTCTGCAGTGCCGTCGTAGTGGGCGAGCGGGTTGCCCGGGTTGGAGTACTGGTCAAGGATGATCGAGTTGGGAATCTCCTTGTTCAGCCGGTTCGCAACGCCAATGTGCGACTCTGAGCAGAGGAAACAAGGCAGACGGTGGGTCGTTGGAATTGGTGGATTGGTGTGAAGGGTCAGGCGTGGCATAGGACTGGATGTGTGGGGAGAGAGCAGAGCAGAATATAGAGGGAGTTGGGTAGCAACCGGCACAAGAGTGCACACAGACAGGCACACAGACACGCAGACAGACACACACAGACACACACAAACAGGCAGGCAGACACACACGAGCGCGGACGCACCAGGGGAGTCAAAGGCGGCCTCTGTTGGGGTGCGGATGATCTCGGCACCGAGGGCACGCAGCACGTCGACCTTCTCCTGGCTCATCTTTTTCAGGCATCACAATGATGCAGCGGTAGCCCTTCACAGCAGCAGCAGCGCAAGCCCATG